ATAGTTTCATATGGCATTCTAAACACGCAAAGCCGTTACAGAATTTTTATGATTAATTAATACAATTCACTGGCCTAAACTTTGTGCTAAAAAGTTAAAAATTAAACTCTATAATTAAAAAAAAATTTAGATTTTAATTAAGCTTGAAAGGTTTGTTGAATGTTAACAAGGGGAAATGAATTGAATAAATTTACTAATTTTACTATGGAACACTCAAAAAAATACAAATATATCAAGAAAACTTGACTTTTTAGGAAGAAAATGCAATCAGGAGATGAAATAAATTCATTTTTTTTAAATTGTTCATAATTTTATACAGTGTTTTTTCACCTGTTCGTAAGATCTTTTGCCTACCAATATCATAAAGAAACTTGTTATAGTAAACAGTAATTTGTTTTCTTCTCTGTTCTGATGAAGTTCATTTATATATTTATTAAATATTGATCAAGCTATTTCCCAGAGGATATTTTCTGCAGCAGAGGAAATGTCTTACTCTCTTAGCAACTGTTATTTTGACATTTTTCTCTTCTTTGGTTTGAGATCCAATTGTAACAACCACGAGATACGTGTCCATCATCTTGTCTTGTATTTGAGTACAAAACACTACTTTTAAATTTAAATATTAAATTATTTGCTTACTTTGCCAAATATTTCCCTTAAAATATTCATGATTTTGCATGCCATAAATTAAGCTTAAAAGTGGTTGAACAAAATCATTACCCCCCTACACACTAACATCCACACATACAGAAAAATCTCCAATTATTTTTTTCATTTCTGGACGTTTCAACGTCACTTGAGTCCAAAAATGTGAAAATTTTGGGTGTTAATGTTTTGACCCATTACCTCACTTTCCCTCTGTTATATACAATATCCGGGAAAGTGAAATGACACTTAATACTAACAATAATCACATTTCAATTAAAAATGTCAATTTTTAATTTTAAATAGGAAATTGATTATTTTTGTGTTTTTTTTAAATGAAAATGAAAGATTAAACAGTAAAAAATGACAATTTTTGAATTTTAAACGAGAAATTGACATATTTTAAATATGTAACTGACACTTTTTGCATTTTTGAAAGTGAAAATAACGGCCAAATTTTTAAAATTTAAATTCGAAAATAATATTTTTTTTAAAATTTTTACATACGAAAACGATATTTTTTAAAAGTAATATGAATAAAATAAATTAAAATATATTACAGTCGATCCCCCTATTATACTGTTGATAATTCCGTTTTATATGAATTCCGTGGTGTACGAGTCACTTAGATTTTACAAATACGTGAGCCGTTCACAGCCCAGCACACGTATTTGTAAAATCTAAGTGACTCGTATAACATGGAATTCATATAAAACGGAAAAATCAACAGTGTTATAGGGGGGTCGACTGTAATTAAGAGATTATGAAATTGGGGACATAAATAAACCCTGATGGAATATTACTTAAAAGCCTAACCGACCCAATCTCTAGCCGAGTACAGCGGGGACTGATTTCTTCGTAATATTAGACGTAATATAAACAGAAATTTTTCCAGTTCAAC